ATGGATGATTTATAATAATATCATGTTCTTTTGATAATATAATTTAAAGTACAATTGTATTGTTAGAATACGGTTTTACGTAGAATATATGTATGTATTAAGTACCCTTATTGAAACTATTCTTACATTTATCTTGCAATAAATGTTAAGCCAAAACCAAAAAAAAAAGCTAAGGCCTCTTTTTTAAATTCCTTTTCAGAAAAATAAAAATCTTCTTTTTTGAGATTCATAAAACGATAAACTAAGTTGTTAGGTCACACGTCTGAAACGGATAAGCGGGTACAGCACTAACTGTTATTTACGTAGAAATAAAGTGTTTAAAAAATTAAAATATATATCAGTTAGAATGCAATCCCTATAAATATTATTTAATTCGAATAATCGTTTAAGAGTTTTTCCGTGCTGTTGTTCGTTTCATGTTCGTCGCAATTACCTGATAGAAATCTGTACCCTTGGGAACTTTATCGAAAATAAATAAAAATGGAGAGGAGTGGAATGCTCGCAATCGACATCCAGAAATACAATTTGACATAATGCGTTTTACGTTACTGTATATTTGTAAAACATATTTTAACTAACTACTTTCTATCAGTTTCATATTTTTAATGTTTTATGCAGTCATTTTGTTTGGATTATTGAATAATTTTCATTTTTATATACTGAAATGTAATGATATATTCCAGCGGTTCTCAAACTGTGCTCCGTGGAACCCTAGGGCTCCATGAAAGAAGTCTAAGAGCTCCATGGGTATATATTAATTATCTAAATTTAAATATTATTATATTTCTTAGTTATTGAGGAAAAACACTGGTATGATTAATTGAATTGCGCAACGAATTGTACGTTTTAGTGACACCAATTTTATTTACAAGTAAAACTTCTGATAAAATTTAGCTATTATGACTTCATAACTTGGTTGGTATTTTCATAAAATTAAATTAAGTAAATTTATCAATACAACGTAAAATGATCAAAGTTTTCATAGAAAATGATAAAATCCGAACTTTAAAAAAAATGAAATTTTGAACTGTGTTTTTCTCAATATAAAATATTAATAATTATTCTTGTATTGAATATAAATTCCTGATTTTCGGGGCTCCGTAAATTTTTTTGTAAACATGAGGGCTCTATGGACAAAAAAGTTTGAGAACCACTGATATATTCTATGTTTAACTATGGTAACCATGGAAAGTAGTATGTTATGATATAAGTTATATATTTAAATGAAAAGGTCTTCCTGTTTTATAATCAACGTTGAACCGAACTTATTAGAATTATCGACTTGAAACGTTGAGGATAGATTAATATTATAATTTCACCGTGTTCTAAGAAAGGATTTCTCAAAATTATGATTTTAAGGGGTTAAAATCAGCAAAAATAAATGTTTACGTGCAAAGTGTATATATATATTGTGGGTTTATAAAATAAACTATTAAATAATAATAGCTGTCGGCTGATAACGTTTTTTGCAAGTGTTCCTGGGAAAGTATATTTATCGTTTTTAATATTATCTTATCTGTAAATTACTTTACGTATTTTTCATATTTCATTTGCTAGTCGATAATTTTTACTAAAACCTTGCTTTATCCACAAATTGCTTTGTATATGTGTGGATAAATGAAAAATTTGTTACAGGTTAACAAGGTCTGAATGTCACAAGTTGGTCAACAGTTAGATAGATAAAGCTTTGGATAGAGTTTAAACAATCCTCCCAAACCATGTTGAATGTTACCGTCTTCGTCCAGGAGCAGATCCACAATTAGAGAATTGTGGGTTGAGCTATTTTAAAGATGCCATTTATTAGGGCTGAAACTGAATTATAAATGTAACCTTGTAATAAAAAAAAAAAAAAATACTGTAGGATCATATATGTGTAATTAAGTTAATTCATAATTCTCAGTCAAGACATTCACATTTATTTTATTTTATGGAGTCCTACATGGCTTAGAAATGTTTTACTGTACTATACAATTAAACCTGTGGCGTTATTTGGGGGATGGCAATTGAAGTATTTTTCCCAGTCTAGTATTATTTTTGACCTATAGTCGGCACACTTAAAAAATATAAGAAGTCTTTAAGAGGCCAATTTTGTCAACAACTATTAACTGTGGGTCAACTGACTTCCTGAACCTCCCCATAGATTCGCCCCTGTCTTTGTCTTCTTCTTCATTATGTTAAAGATCCAATATCGTATTCATTTTTTAAGGCTGTGAAAAATACCAAGTATTCGACATTTAAAGAACTTGGATTAATAGAATATGAGAATAAATGAGACTTTGTTTTAAAAGAAGCAGCATTATGTCGTTCACCTAATAAAATGTGAGAACTTTATAGTGTAACTTTAATATTTTTCCATCCTTCAGATGCTTCAAGTCTTTGGAATAAGTATAAAATCGATTTTTCAAACGATATTCAATGACAATACTATAGACAACACCTAGAAAATAATATTACAGACAATGAACTTTATAAAATAAATGTTTGGTATTAATTGAAAACTTTGTTTTGAATCAATATGGATATAACTTAAAAGAATATGGTTTGCCAACTCCTACAAAATCATGTGGATTATTAGAAAATAAAAAAATTTTAAAGCCATGATTTAATAGATATACACGAAATTGTTTTGCAAAATTAATCCTCTTTGACTGAGGAACAATGGTTCATTTACAAATAAACATTAAATAGTAAACAATTTTTTTTGACCAAAAATATACAAGTACACTTAAAAGGTGATAGGACTGCTGAACAGCTTTTTGAGCTAATTTTAAAATTAGTAGATGGAAAATATCCAAAATGTGTAGAAAAAATTACTTTGCAGATAGGATTAGCTACTGTTGTAAAAACTTTAAAAAACTTATTTAAAAAATATATCCTGGCATCGAAAAACTTAAAAAAATATCTATGGACTGATTATAACAAAAAATTATACAGAAGGAGAAATAAATAAAATATTATTGGACCCTTTCCAAGCATAAAATATGGAATTAAGATCAGTAAATTTCATACAGAAGTAGATGATGCAGTTAATTATTCAGTTGAATTTCACAATTCGTTTAACCCTCTTGAATTTTCACTACATTTATTAAAATTGATACTCTTGTAATGCTTCTAAGAAATCTTAGCCCACCAAAGTTGTACAATGAGACATACCTACTTATTACTGATCTTCTAAAAAAATTAATAGAAGCTGAAATTATGACTGGATCTGCAAAAAGTAAAACAATTTTTATTTCTCGCATAATAATGATACCATTGATCCCTTCCAATTCAAGAGAATGCAGTTTTCCGTCAAAGTATGTTTTGCTCTGACAATAAATATATCACAAGGTCAAAAATTGAAAATTTTAGTGATAGATATAAGAGTAGATCATTTTTCATATAGTTAATTTTATGACATGTTTTATGACATGTTCCAAAGTACGCCCATAAGTTTAGTTATTTTGGCATCAACGAGGAATACTTCAAATATAGTTTATGGAGAAATTTAATAATAGAATTATTACCTTAAATTATTCTTTTTTATTTTATACCTATTAACTTTAATAGGTATAATAGGGTAACACAAAAAAACTGCACATGGGTGAAATATTTATATTCTGTAATTCATTTTCCTAAATTTAAAAGGTAATATGGGTTAAAAATTAAAAACATTATTTCTTGATCGGACTTTTATAAAACATAAAACAACACCAACACTCAAACAGCTGATCAATTTAAAAATTTAAATCCAGGGTGATACCTGGTATTCATATAGTATATCTGTATACTAGAACAAGCGAAGCTACGGCCAAAAGCTATAATAATAATATATATATAAATTAATTTTTTTTTAAAATCTTATTTAAATTATATTTAAATAGACAGTATTTAATCTTACCAGATAACAACAATACATAAATCTGGCAACGACGGGTAGTTTAGCTATGTTACTAGTGGAAGAGAAAATATCAATGACTTTTTTTATGTAATAGATTTGTGTACAATTAGTTATCGATAGTAATGGGTCGGAAAGAAGGTCAAATAGTATCGAAATAATCGTTGTGAATAATGAATGTATGCGATTCGAAGACGGATGACAGCGGCAAGGAAGTGAGGTATAAAATTTCGCATTAATCTGGTGGGACATGTGTGTTTAGAAATAATATTATCAACTCGTAGAACGACGCTGTATTCCGGATGTGGAGGCTCAGCATTCATTCCGATTATTATTACTTGATTATTGTAGGTTTACTGTTGAAAATAAATACGACATGTATTATTGTTTTTTTCCACATTCACCCCTCCCCATCAGCTCATTATGGTGATTCTTTTAGGACGTCCTCTTGTGTTCTGTGGACTTGCGCCAATTGCGCCTGTGCGAAAGAAAATAAAAGTCTGTTATTATTGCCGCTCCTGACGTTGCAGCGGTGCGTATTGTCGTTGGCCGATATCCAAAAAACACGTCGCACCTTAATTCTTCCTTGTGTTTTCGTTGAAGTGATCCGTTTGTTCGCGATGGAAAAAAAATTACACACCGTACACGTTATGCACTGCACATATACAATGTATTCGTACAGATCTATTATGTATTTATATCCTGTGTCAAATGCAGTGGCGTACCTGTGGGGGGGGCGAGTGGGGCAGTCGCCCCCCCCGTGGCCGTAAAATAATATGTGTACACTGTTATATGTTTTTATGTTTTTACAATATTATTATGAAATTTTTTTTTCTCGAATTAGTTGATAATTATATGGCAGCTTGCTCACAATATTTTTTTCTCTTATCTCAATTATTATTTTTTCAATTTATTCCTATCATTATGATGTTGATTTATTGTATTTATTATTTTGATGTTGTCAACGCTACGGCGAGACAGCTGCTATGTTCATGTCTATCACGACGGCCGGTCGTTACGGTTTAAATTGTGGCCCGCCGACCCCCCACTGACCATCAAGATTTATAGATAATATTATTATCCGTTGCCTCTTATCATTGATTTTCAGTTACTAAATAATAATTAAATATTATATCCAAATTCCCAAGTGTTAGGATTTAGTAGTTAATAATATTATTCGTTATGAACAAGCAAAGCAATATAAGTAATTGGCTGTGTAAGCAGAAACAGAACCATCCATCAACAGCAACAAGTATAGATAACAATCATATTTCAATACAAGCAAATGAAAAGGAAAGTAAGACAATTAATACAGTTAAAAATGATGATTATATTACCAATACTTCGTCTACCCCCAAAAAGAGAAAAGTTGATTTATCAGATCAAAAGGTACATAATGTTTTGGCTCCTAGTAAAAGTTCAAATAATATAGATCAAACTTTAGAACTGTTTGAATTCAGTGACGACATAGGGCAATTTTTAAGACCTGCTAATCCTTCTGATCATATCAAGTTTAAGATTCTTGAGAAATTGAATATCCCAGAAAACAATTTCGTTTATCCTTTCTCAATACATATTAAGAAAGGCAGAGAAGAAAAACGGTTTCTTAAGCGTTCACATTTTGAAAAATTTAAGTGGCTTGTCTATTCAAAATCAAAGAGTGGTTTGTTTTGTAAATTTTGTGTTTTTTTTAGCAATAAAGGTGGTAAAGACAATAATGTGGAGCTGAAAAAGTTAGTAAATGAACCATTAAATAAGTTTGCTAAATTGTTAGGGAAAGATGGTGATTTAGAGAAACATAATTCAAATTTATATCATTTAAATGCTTTAACATCTGCTACTGATTTTTTGAACTGTTATAAAAATCCAAAAAGGGAAATAATAAATATTGTAAACACTTCAAGAATGAAACAAGTTTTAGAAAATAAAGAGAGACTAAAACCAATTATTGAATCCATTATTTTTCTTGGCCGACAAAATATTGCATTGAGGGGGCATAACGATTCAGGACATTTGTTTGGTGAAAATGCAGATAAAGAAATAGAAGAATCTATTTCCCCTGTTACTAATAGTGGTAATTTTCGAGCTCTTCTTAAGTACAGAATATTATCAGGTGATACTATACTTGAAAAACATTTAAAATCAAAAACATCAAAAGCAACATATATAAGTCCAAAAATTCAGAATGACATTATTGAATGTTGTAAGAATTATATAACAGAAACAATTATTAATGAAGTTCATGAAAGTAATTTCTACAGTATAATATTTGATGAGACTACTGATATAAGCCATGTTTCACAAATGAGTCTTATACTCAGGTATGTTCATAATAATATTGTGAAAGAAAATTTTGTTGCTTTTATTGATTGTCACAGTTATTGGTATTCTAAAAATACATCTACTTCCATAGAAGAAAGTGAACTAAATGAAGATGATAATATTACAAGAAATGATACATTGGAGCCAAAACTAACAGGTGATATCCTTGGAGAAATTGTGGTAAAAATATTACAACATTTACATTTAAATCCTCTTAACTGTGTTGGTATCGGAACCGACGGTTGTTCTGTCATGACTTCTACTTTGAAAGGAGCTGTTAAAAAAATTCAATCATATGCTATAAATGCTCTTCACTCTCCTTGTTCAAACCATGCACTCAACTTATCAATTTCAAGATCCTCGTCAGTTCAAGCAATTAGAAATAGTATTGGGCTAATGAAAGAAGTTATAGGTTTTTTTAATATGTCATCTAAAAGAAATTATGTCTTAAAAACAATTCTCAATGGTAAACAGCGGCTTAAGAGTTTGTGTGAAACTAGATGGGTGGACCGCCATGATAGTGTTTTAATTTTCAAATCTTCTTTAACTTTTATTATTGAAGCATTAACTAAAATATCATTTTGGAACGAACAAGATTCTTCGTCTAAGGCAAAAACATTACTTACAGCTGTGTGCTCGTGTGAATTTATTTTATCACTTCATTCGCTTTCATCATTATTATGTGTTACTACATGTGTCAGTAAATTATTACAAAGTGTAAATAGTGATATAAGTAAAGCTGCAGATATTATTAATGATATTTTGTCAAATTTAGAAAATAAAAGAAAAAATTGTAATGAAGAATTTAAATCATTGTTCAGAGATGCCGAAATCCAAATGACTGAATTAGATATTGAATTAAAAAAACCTCGAATTGTTTCAAAACAAATATCTAGATCCAACCATGAAACCAATTCTATTGAAAACTATTATAAATTTTCTATTTATATACCCCTACTGGATAATATTATAACAGATTTGAAATCAAGATTTTTAAATGAAAAGTATAAAGCCATTTCAAAATTGCCATTACTTTTGCCCCGTTTTATTATTAAATCTGACACAAATGATACTAATTCATTATTAAAGACTATAAAAGAACATTTTACATTTGAAGATAGCAATATGATTGATGAATTGGAGCTAATAACTGAATTGCAACTTTGGAAGTCAAGATGGATTAGAAAAAAAAATGAAGGTAATTATTAAGTACCCAGTTAAAGTACATTTTAAAATTGAATAATGAATAAAAGTACAACTATTTTTTCTATTATATTTTTAGGTGAATGTATTGACTGTGATGCCATTAAATGTATTGACGATTGCTGTGTAATAATTTTTCCTAATATCAAAAAATTGCTTAGTATAATTGCATGCTTGCCTATAAGTGTAGCATCCGCTGAACGATCCTTTTCATCTCTAAGACGGTAACATTTTATCTGCTATTACATATTTTTTAGTTTAATATTTGTATTTTATTATAATGCTTTATAACACAATTAGATAATTTTTTAAAATATTTGTAGGACCCAAAATTTTTTTTAAAAAGTAATTTAATGCTACCTGCTTTTATACTTTGTACTACTTCAGTGCTTTAGTTTTCAAAAAAGTTCTTAAAAAAAGTACAATATTTACAGAATATAATACTATTGATATTTTTATTAACATAGGATACAATTAATAACCTACATAGTTTTGCTTATAAATAGGTATTTATACCTATTGCTTTTTAATTATATATATTTACTATTCGCTTTATGCTTGTGCTGTAGGCTTAAAACATGGCTACGCTCAAAAATGGGCCAGGAACGCTTATGCGGGCTTGCACTGTTGCATATTTACCAGGATATAAGTATACCAGTGGACGAAATTATTAAAAGATTTTCTTGTATGAAAAACCGGAAGCTGGACTTTGTATTATAAATATATATTATTAAAATTTTATATTTTATTTATATAAAAGAGCTCAATATATTAATAAAATCGTTGTAGCATGATAATTTTTTAAGAAATTTTATATTTTAAGAGTGGGTAAAAATGTATTTTGCCCCCCCCGTAAGAAAGGCATAGGTACGCCACTGGTCAAATGTCAATCATTGTTTTTTTTCCTCATCCTTTTTTCGCCGCTGGTAGCTGTATAGATAAAAGGTTTATGTTTGTGTTGGATAGTATTTTTACATGTGCATTTTTGCCGCAGGTTTGTGTCCAACGTACATTCAACGCTGTAGCGAACGAGTTTTCTATGTCATGGTTAATGATTATATTAATCTGTGCTCATTAATTTAGTCGTAAAACGTTATTTCATAACAAAAAAAGCTAACTTAAAATATTTTAAGCATAATCAATTTTTCTCGCTTTCGTTTCATCTTAGAAATAGTACTAAAGATTATACTGTATAATATTCCAAACATGTTATTCTAAAAAATTCAATTTTATGAGCAATACTTTGTAATTATTATTTGTTTACTTTTAATTTTAATTAATATTATTGAATTTAATCAATTGTTAAATCATTAATTATTTCATTTTACATAAAAGTCAAAAAAATAAGATACATAGATTAGAATCATTAAATTTTACTTATGCAATTCGGTATAGATGTTGATACTTTTTTCAAAAATTATTAAAGATTTTATAACAAAGGCATTAAAGAAGAAGTTAACTTAATTAAAAATATAATTAATAAATATGTAGGATAAATATTTGAATATGCAAAGTTTTTTTGTATTTAAATTACTCTTTTTGAAGTTAATAACAATTGTAATATAAAGTTCAAAATTGATATTATTCAAAAATACTGACAAATAAATTACAGATTATATGATAAAAGAATTATTTATTTTTCACAAATGGTTATTTGAAATACCGCAATACCAACATAAATTATAACTATATAATGATTTTTTAATATTATTTACGTGTGTAGAAAAATCATAATAAAAAACAATATAAGCTTTATTGATTGATTTAAAAAATATTATAAGTGCCAAATAATGTACAGTTTATTTAACATAAATAAAATGCTCGTATAGTTTGTTAAACTTTAAACGTTTTAATACACAAGTTAATTATTCTCTCATTTATAAGTAATAATTTATTGATCAGAAATTATACATATTAGATGCTTACAAATTTCTAAACGGTGCTAAACGGATATTAGTTCTATAATGGAGATAAAAGGAATTTTTTTTTTTAATGATATTATTATTAAAAAAAGATATACGTCCAAAGTGTCTAATATTTTGTTATTACTAATACTTTTCGTTAATTTGTAAAAAATAATATATATAAGCACATTTTAATGTTTTCAAAAAATGAATGTATTTTAGAATATAAGACGTATTTTAACGAATAATATCATCAAAATTTGTTTAATTAAGCTCGAAATTTTTCACCAATATAAATTGAATTTTAATTTAATCACTATTTAATCAATTTAAAAATGTTGATTAATTTTTGAAAAATATACTTAGTTATGATGGTCAAGGTAAACGAGTAATTATAATTTATTAAATGAAAAATTTGCTGTACCAAGAAAAGTGTTAAAATAATTTTTGTTCATATTTTATTTCACAATTATTACTAATTTTTTTATCTTAGATATTTTAATTAAATTATAATTAATGAAGTACATATAATAATAATATTAATAATTAAATAACATAATATTATTGTTTTTCAAATAAAGTGTGCGACTGTTTAATTTCATTGTAAATAATGAATATGTAAACGTATGGACAATACAAGTTATTTTTTGTTATTTAGTGACGTTATCTATCCAAATATTTCCTTGGCAGTTATTTTCAGTGGGAAAAACAGCTTCAACCACATAGATAAATTTCGATTATTTATGATTTATGTGTTTATAGATATATTTGAGTGTGTGTGTGGGTGTATTTGTAAGAGTAAATTATTTTTTTATCATAATGAATTTCAAATACTGTAGTGTTTTATTATGAAATATACGTATCAAATTTATAATTGTTATAACTTGATGTTAAATATCGCAAGTGATTTTTTTTTCATTAGTTCGATATTGTTTTTACCTATTGAATTTGTGTATAATTTTAAAATATTATTGAAATCGATTTATATCCATCCTAATAAAACGTGATGATGGCCAATAACAACTTGCAGTGGCGTGAGGTAGTTTTAAATAATTAGGAAAAGAACTATTTGGAATTTGAGAATACGATAGTATATGCTACGACTAAAGCGATAAAGCAATTATTTCATGAAATATTATTCTTACTCTCATTTATTGTAATATTTATGTAAGGCTTAGAGTTACACTGTATTTAAACTTTAAATTTTATGAATATTTATGTATAATAAACTTTTCAGATGTATGAAAACACTTGTGTATAATAACGATCCACAAAGATTTTATTTTCAATAAGTTAACGTACGTTAATGGTTTTATTATGCAATATGTTACCGCACATTTTCATTGACTCAAACGGTTATAATAATGATTTGCTATAATAATAGTATAGTGGTATTAATACTAATAAATAGTAATGAATAGTAAATTACTTTTTTTTTGATATTTGTGATTTTTTAAGAATGTTTGAAAAATCTATATTATTAATCTGTTAAAAATGTCGAGAAAAATAGTTGATTATTTTGTACATACCTACTTACATAATTTTAACCCTGATCAAACAAACACATACTTCAAGAATATATTTTTCTAGCTGCTGTGGTGAAAACAATCGTATAAACTGATTGTAATAAAAGATACATAATAGAGTTTGAAATATTAAAACCATTTGGTTTCATTTAGAGATTTTACTGAAATATACATTTAATATTGTTTTATTTTTCCATCGAAATATAATAGTGATCGTGTTGGCATAATGCAATTTACATAAATAGACGAAATACCTATAAATATATAAGTACATAAATGTGTCAGAGACCGATTCTTAGCAGAATTAGTTTCACGGTTCCTGCAGAAGTACATATGCAAGTTAGGTCATGAGTTGGTAATATTGGACGATAAGCTACGGATTACTTGAACGGTCATGTGTTTTACCGTTTTAGACAATTTACACGATGAATATTGTAATAATATTTATACGCTTTACGTACAGATTATACCATCTTCATATCTACTATAGGTCTATATTATATAGTATATTCTTCGTTTAAGAACCTGGCGGCGGTGACGGTTTCTCGCAACCGTATATTTATATATCATTATTTTAGTCACGTGTCGAATGTACTAAACGCGCAACCGGGTTCGTGTGTGAGTGTGAACTAGCGCAAAGTGTATTATTTAATTTCGTAAATAATATGATATTGCCTACCTGTGCGTGTGCTGTGCTATTGGCTGTGTAGCTTACTAAAAATAAATTAGTGTCCAGGAAGAAAGAAAATTAATAACATTGTTTGGCTGGAAACGACGTAGAAAAGGAAAAATGAAAAAAAAAAAGAAAAATAAAGACCGTTAGAGAATCATCAAGTACGATTTCACGCAATGTCGGTCAGCCAGCTACTTCGATACTACTCGTATATTATTATATCCTACGCGTCGTCATCAAAAGAATTTGAACTTTAAAAACGTTGAATTTGAACACTTTGAATACGGTCATTTCAGTCGCACGTGGAGTAAATTGTGCGCATCATTTTTTTCGGTTTTCAATTCTCGCGCGACACATTGCGGTAAATGTGTATGTGCGTTTGTGTTATAAAAACATTTTGCGTGACATTACATCTTCATATTCACACGTGTATAGTATATTTATGTATAATTTTCTAGAGTCGTAAACATCCGGGTCCAAAGATCAAAAGGACCATTCCGTCTCCCTCTCTTCTTCTGTACACATACTCTTGCACGTAATAATAATGTAACGTGGACAGCTATTGATGCGGTCGAAAACGCTTGTTGTATGCGACCTTTTTTACGTAAGAAACGGTCGCGGACAGAATTTCATTTTCTACCTTTATTGCCGCTTCACAAAAATATGGTAGTTTAACATATTGTCTAACCGAGACGATTTCACAGAACTTTTGGGATGACTATCATCTTAAGGACGCATTTTATTCTACATCCTTGGTTTTGAGTCGAAGGCATCGCTATAATATCGCTGGCCATACGTTCACGCAGTGCCATTATAATTATTTCGCAACAGCGTATCTCTTGGGCAAATAGTGTTTTATTTGTTTTTTTGTAGCACCATGAAACCGCGCAGTTTGGTGAAATTGAAAGACAAGAAAGTTTATAATTCGATTTATGATTTTTCCCCCACAAAAGTACGTAATTCAAAATCAAATTATGAGTTTTCCCTCGTAGTTAAATTGTCCGAGTAATACATTTTACATTCGTTTTTATACATTTTTTTTTTTTTTTTAATATCAACTTAAAAACCATAATTAAAAAAAAAAAAAAAAAATAATCATCACTCGACAAATATTAAATATATTAAACATTGTCATGTTGTAATTATTTTTACTAATCACTAAAATTAATACGTTAACGAAAGACTAAAAGAACCTATATTGCTAGGTTGTAAAATCATAGGTTATAATGTAATATTAATACTTCCTTCGTCACTGTTTTTACATCATAACGTATAGAACTTTTATGTTATATTTTGTAATGAAAGTGCTAGTTCAAATCTTAAGTCACAATGCTGAAAAAAAAACCATTCTCCATTCGAGGCCGATTGCTTCAATATTATACTTATACCTACAACGATAATAATACGTTTTTTTTCTACTTCTCTTGGCCGTCACCATTCTAATGGTATTTTATGAAAACCCAAACGGAATTCCGTCTGTTCGTTTGCGTACTACCATACCTACCAGGTACCAGATAGAGCATATAGAATGTCAGGCATCCATGTTCGTCCGATCGCAACGGCGGCGGCGGCGGCTTTTCTTTTGAAACCAGTCATCGTATTACAGTTGTTTACGCCCTTCCCGCGAACGTTTTTCCAAGCACATAATAATACAACACAGTCGCATCGCGTTACATTCAAGTTGGATACGCGTTTGCCGGCACATACGTAGACATATAATAATAATAATAACAATAATAAAAGGCCGTATCGTGTTTTTCCCACGTCGAAATTTACCGCCACTGCTGCCGACGGATTCCGTGACGCGACCAATGACCATAAATCGTATTTCCCCGGTCGCAAACATACCCATACATTGCTCAGTAGAGTGTCATTCGCGAACGCGTTTGAACCACACCCTAGGAGTAGACGAGTTCGGCGTATACCTGTGTGTTTTTGTAGATAATGTGGTCCGGTCTATTGTCTTTCGCGAAATTTTCCACGGCCATTGTTTTTCTACGCGACCGTTTTGTTAAGGATTTTTTATTTTTTTTATTTTTTTTTTTAGTTTCATTTGCTAACTCAACATTATTAGCTCGGACTTTCGTGCGAAATATGCGCGATACCAATTTGGGGAAAATTAAA